GGACACAACGAGACACAACATGGACACAACGAGACACAACATGGACACAAAGAGACACACAACCACCACAAAGAGACACAACATGGACACAAAGATACACACAACATGGACACAAAGAGACACAACATGGACACAAAGAGACACAACAGGGACACAGAGAGAATTCTGACCCAGTTCAGGAGGTATGAACTGAGTGTGGGTCACTGGAGGTTCTGCAGGACTGTGGGGTTCTGTGTGGAGAACGTGTCCTTACATGTTGGTGTTTGACAGCTTCAAACCGCCGGACGATGAGCTGAAGGTGGACGAAGAGCTGTTGTTCGTCCAGTCGAAGATCTGCGAGGCTCTGACGGCGAGCAGCTACAGCGCTCACTGTGAACGCTTCAGCTCGCCGTACACACCTCAGCTGACAGGTAACACACACCTGGACACCTCAGTCATGTTGAGTAGGAATAACTGCCCTATGTGCTCACGCTGAAGGCATCTTCCAACAACGTGCTCCTCTGAAAATGACTAGAGATTTACCCCAGATCAAGTTTTTGAGTCATGATGGACAAACTTCAGATCACTGTTGACCCATTTCACCTAATTATGGACTTTCATGCCGTTCTTGGACACGTTTCGAGTCGTTTTAAACAGTTTCGAGTCGCTCGTCTCCTCTCTGTAGAAACACTGCCTGCAGTTCAGTCTAGACACTCTGGATTGGGATCTTTTGTCTTTGTAGTTTTTTCTTTTTTGGTTTTGTTTCTGATTGTTTGAAAGGAACGTGCAAAATGAAGTGATGTCATATGATATGTTCAGGGACCGTCGGAAAGTTCTACACATTTCTGGGATGAGGTTCGGTTTTAGTTGGCGCGAAGCCAAATCTGCCATTTATGACCATTTCTGGGCTGATGGAGAAAATAAAACCCTTTTTCAGACGAAGACCGTCTGGCGAAGAGGAAGAGCATCGGAGACGTCATCTCTCTGCAGATGGAGATGGATCCTCAGAGTCCGGAGACGCCTCAGGTACCGATCAATCTGTCGATCAATAAGTTGTCCGTGTGTCCATCTGATCGTTTCTCTGTGTCTTCTGCAGAAGCCTCAGACCGAGCAGATCACCTTTGAGACGCTGAAGAACGCCATCGGTAGGCCAAGAGCTTGAGCTGAAAGCTGTGTCTGGTGTTTAAATGTGAGCTGAACTGGAGTTTCTCCTCAGAGGATCGAGGGTTCGTGGAGGAGGAGGAGAGGAGGAAGAGGCTGGAGGTGGTGGAGAGGTTCCAGACGGCGCCGTTCGAGGAGATCGCTGCTCACTGTGGATCCAGGGTGAGAAGGTCCTCGTGACGTGGCAGCGCCCACACTCTGCTGTTGTGGTACTAACGCGAAGGTGTTTGTGCTTCCAGGCGTCGCTGCTTCAGTCCAAACTGGACCAGGTGTTCGATCTGATCATCCGTCCTCCTCCGTCTCCGTCCGGACAGTCGCCGCCTCGCTCCACGCCGCTCTACGAGATGAAGTTTCCCGACCTCTGTGTTTATTAGACGCCACAAAGCAACGCTGAAGGCCGCATGACTGAGTAAAACGGTGACGTAGTGGTGGAACTGTGAGTAACTGTTAGCCAACAGCTGATAGTGTGGATAGCTAAAAGAAGGCTAACAGTTAGCTAAAAGTATAGCAGTTATAACAGTGTCAGTTGTTAGCTAGTTTGGCGAGCTGTAGAAAATATTTGTTAATACTCAGGATAAATAGCTGAAATGTTGGCTAATACCATGGCTAAACAGTTGAAATGTTAGCTAACTGTATGGATAAACAGCTGCAAGTGTTAGCTGAAAGGGTGGACAAACATTTATAAAGGGTTAGCTAAGTGTGTGGAACACAGTTGAAATGTGAGCTAAGAGAACAAACACTTCAACTGTTAGCTGACAGTGTGGCTACCAGGTGAAACTGCTGTGGCTAACAGGTGAAATGTTAGCTAATACTATAGTTCAACACATTTAAAACTGTTTATTGCTGAAAATATGTCTAAACAGTTGGTTTGCTAAATAACTGAAAAATATGGAAAGAAACTTTTTGCAAATCGTGATTTTAGCTAACATGTCAACTGTTAGCTAACTGTGTGGATAATTAGCTGCAAGTGTTAGCTAAAAGTGTGGATAAATATTTGGAAAGTGTTAGCTCATGGTATGGCTAACAGTTGAACATTTTCAGCTAATTGCTAATGGCATAGCTAACACTTAAAACTGCTAATAGCACTGTTCTCTGCTGGCAGGAGATAAGGAGGTAGGAGAGGGCACAAGGATGTAGGAAAGGAGAGGTAGGGAAGAAGGAGATCAGCACTTTGTGGTCACATTTATTACAACTTAGTTTTCTTTGTGGTGATAAAATGTTTTTCCGTGACTGTTTTGTCCTGATCAGAGTTTATTTTCCAGTGTCAATGAGACCCGACTGATTTTCCAAACTGCTCCTGGAGCTGCCCTGATTGTCTGAAACGCTCCTTTACTCTGATCACAAAGTCAATCTGTACACAAACGATGTCTGTTTTAAATAAGCTGCACCAATAAAGTGTTAAACTTCAGCTTTCATCTTGTTGTTGATATTTAGTCAGAGAGCGTAGGGCGCTGAGCTGCTACCTCGTTTTTATTCCCTGTAGCCCCGCCTTCTTTTGGGACCCGTCCCTTCTTTCAGGAGGCCATTTTGTTTATCAGGGTTCCCCCATCTTTGGGAGTCCTCTGTGGTCCTGTCTGACCTTTTCTTTCAGGTGTGCCTCATGTCAGCTGGAGAGCGTTGTTCAGGTTCTTGTCGTTGGAGGTGCTGCCCTTCTTGGGGCTCAGTCCTCTTTTGAGGGTCTGTTGTTTTTCTACCGTTGCTTCCACATTGTGCCGTCTTTAGCGTCTTCTTTAGTGTTTTTCTGGGTCGTCGTTTCTTTGGTGATCCGGTCCAACTTCTTCTTGCTGTCTGGTTTGTTTTTCAGGAACATGTGCCTTTGGTTCCCCACAGCATTTTGTGGCGACCTTGTTTGGAGTTTTACCGTAACTCTGCCCGTCTTTGGCAGCATTTAGGGACCTGGGTTTGCTGACCTTTTGGCTTGTCTTTCTCTGCTGCACCAACTTGTTTGTTTTTGGTGCTTTTGCTTCTTGTATGAGGCTGGTTCGTTGTTAAGACTTTTGCTTTCTTGGTGGTTGCTTTGTTTTGTAACTCTTCCTTATTTGTCAGGCCAGTGTTTGGATGAAGGAACCCACCTGGTGTGGTTTGTCAGGACCTCGAGGTCTTCAGGGGTCATTTTTCTGGGGATGCCTTATTCAGAATGCATGTTTGTTGTATGTTTCAGGGGCTCACAATGTTTTCGCTTGACTTTGGGGGGCAACAGCTTTTTTTCAGAAGCCCAGTTGTTTGTTCTTTGGGACCTGTTAGGAACGTTGTTTTGTGGCCCCTGAGTCTTTTAGTTGCTGGGGACCACCTTTGTGACTTGTACTTCCTGCAGGGGCCCAGGTTCTGGGTCATTCTGAACATGGAACAGAGTGTTTTCAAACCTTCACAGATCATCAGCAGTAAAGACACACGTCTGGTGTTTTGCTTGCAAATGACTCTTTATGTTTTCATATCATAGACACAGATATTTACATAAACCAATAAATATCAAAACATCCTTCTCGCTCTCTCTTTCCTTTCTGTCGCTCATTCTGGATCATGTAACAGGCAGCAGCTTCAGAGCTGCTGACAGGTCACTAAATTGTCTGCTAACGAGCTCGTTGGCCAATGAGAACACCCCACTGATTAGCTCCTCTCGTCTTCTTCTGCTCACTTCTGCTGCTGTCCGTCCTTGGTGATGCCGTTGTCGGAGAGCAGCGGTCGTTGGCCATGTTCGGTCCAGCTCTTCACGAGGCCGCCGTAGCGTTTGGTGGCCGGCGGGCCGCTCCAGCGGAAGTGCTTCATCTTGTACGAACCGTCTTTCTTCTCCTGCAGGAGCTGCTCCTCCTCCATCGCCTTCTCCTCCTCCGCCGCCGCCAGCAGCTCGTTGGCCAGCTCCCGCCTCCTCATCTCTCCGGGGAACACCTCGGCCGACTCCTCCTCCCCGCCGTTGGAGGTGTACACCTTGATTGGGCGGCGTTTCCGGCCCACAGGCTTCCCCCAGCGGAAGTGCTCCATGGAGTAGGAGCGCTTGGCCTGGCTGGAGGAGGCGTCTGACGGAGGCGGCGGCTGGAGGTGGGCGTTGCCGGGGACAACAGGCGTCTCGGCAGTGAGGTCGGAGCGACAGAGCTGGAGGCAGTCCTGCAGGTAAAGAACATGGTTCATGAGGAAAGTAAAGAGCTTGAAGGTTTTCTTCATGTCCATAAATCTGTGTCTCTATGAAGACTCTGCCCCCTGGTGTTCAACACAGGAAGTGCATTAGTTCAGTTGTTACGGTCCAGTGTGATGTAATGTGTGCATGAAGCATTCCTACCAGTAAACAGGATCAATAACACATCATCGAGAATAAATGAGGAGGAGTGGAGCCAGTTTAGTGAAACATGTCGTTCTAGGATGTAAAACCACGACAGTCTGTGTTTGCTGAGTCTTAGTTCACATCGTCTGCTCACTCCGGTCCTGAATCAGACATCACAGAGTTCCACCTCAAACCAGCAGATGTTCAAAAAGTTCACGCCTGATCATCTTACAGTTGCCTGATTCTGTTGTTGTTATTCAGTGAGACGAGCTGGTTGTCTCCATGTTCACACTGTTTCCTGTGTGCCAAGCTGTTGGTCAACGTTTGAGGAGTCACAACTTGAGCAATAGTGTAGCTGCAGTCCTGAAATGTTGTGACTGATATGAACAGCTGGTAGAATCATACAGACCAGTTCTATGGTGGCGTCTAGCTTTGTGTCCTCCCAACCATAAAACCTGAACTCCACTCCAGGAGGTTGATTACTTCCTGTGATTGGCACCAAAAAGAGATTTAAAGGTGTCGAGTTTGGCCCCAGGAGGAAAAAAACATTTAAATTTAAAAAGAGTCGTGATGCTGCCACCGCCGTGCTTCACAGTGGAGATGCTGATGATGTGCAGTTGTTGGTGTTTGCCAAAGCTTTTATCTTTAATAGTTTTGTAGATGTTGTTCTTCAACAGCCTCAAATATTAATGTGTGGCAACAAAAGACAAAGCTGCTGAAGGCGGGTCCAAGTATTTGATATCTGAATCTAAACATTTCAGAAATCTCTATATTTTATTTAGTAGAAACATCGGGCGATGCAGAGCTGATTCTAAACTGTGCTGATGTGAGGTGGAACCATCCTGCAACGCTCCAGAGAACCAAACCCATGATCGGGTCGTGTGTTACCATCATGCTGCTCTCAGAGCTCAGGTCCTGGCAGCTCGGATGCTCCCAGCACTGACCGGCGGCTCCTTTGGCTCCGCCCACAACCACCACAGCCACCAATAGCCACACGGGACACATTGTCCTGTCGGCCAATCAGAGAGAAGCAGGAAACAGTTCATTACTTACACTGTAATCGTTATAAGTGTTTTTAGTCTATTGCATGTATTTAATCCATTAAATAGTTATTAGTACGATAAAATACATTCACCACTTAAATCTATGCATTAAATTAAACACTGTGTTGGCGGTCGTTCGCAGTTTAAAGTCATTAAATATGAAAGAAGTCGTTTTTCTTCAGCTGAAAAATCCCCTGATGCTGCGTTTGTTAGATTTCTGGTTTTAAAGTGAAAAATACTGAATCAACCTGTGAAGAAATGGAGATGGATTAGTTCGTGTTAAACATTTAGTTTTTGATTTTAACCCTTTAAGTCAGTTTTGTTTAAGCATGTGAAGGTTCTGGTTTTGTTCAAAGCTGCAGTCAGAAGAAGTTCTTAAAGGCTTTAAATACAGAGAAACAATCAGAACCAGAGTCTCACCGACGTCTCTGCTGCTGCTCCTGGTGGTCAGATGAAGGTTTCTGTCGTCGGCGTCTCGTCTCTGCTGCTTCCACCGACTTTATATCCGTCAGCCGCAGGTCACAGCAGCTTCCTCCAACCTGCTCCACCGTCACACCTCATCGGACGTTCTGCCGGCGTGTAAATCTGCTGCTGTCGTGTTAAAGGTCAGCGGCGCTTCCTCAGATTAACGCCGAGGCTTCATGCCGTCATCGCCGCCGTCCGGGTGTCCAGTTACCCACCGGCACAGCTGCTGCCTTTGTCTGGGCCTCCGAGGCTCAACCCGGCGGCTTTATCGCGTTTAACGGTGACGCGGCTCAGGTTCCAGCCCAGAGTCTGGTCCTACGTGGACGGCGTTGCTGAGGAGGCTCCACATCACCACCAGCTTCAACGTTTACCTGAAAACCTACGAGTCCTTCAGCTCCTTCTGGTGGTCCAACACAACTGTCCGTGAAGGCTCCATGTCTGCTCAGAAGGTGTCCTCACGAATCAAGATCCACCAGGATCCTCTGGTTCCTCAGCAGGAGCTCCTCTGAGGAGCTCTGCCTTCATGAAGCTCCACTTCAGTCTGTCTAAACTCTCCATCTATGACCAGCTCCAGTGTGAAGCTCTACGTCCACTAGAAGCATCTCTACGGAGCTCCACTCCCATCATCAGCCTCTCAGGATCTACATTCACTGAAAGCTTTGATGTGAAGCTCCACCTCCAGACAGGAGCTCCTCTGTAGAGCTCCATGTCCACTAGAAGCTGCTCATTTCCCGTTAGAGATGTTGTCTTCAGCAGCTTGAGGCTCTTTGAAGCTGCTTTTTAAAACCAGAACTCATCCAGATCCACTCCTCAGGTTTCTTCTTTAACCTTCTGTAGCCTGAAGCTCTGATCTTCTCTGAACATCCTCGTCAGACACTTCACCTCCTGGAGTCTTGAAGAACCTGAACGTTGCATTTTGGTTTCTCACATTGTTTGTTTGTTTGTCCATCGATGTGGAAAAGAACAGATTGAGGTGAAAGGACGAGTTCTGGACCAGAAAGAAGTGAAGCTCGATGAATACAAACGGAATGAATCTGACCTGAAGGTGTGTTTGCTCGTTTTCTGTTTATTCAGAACATTTAAAACAACAGATCTGGAACCAAAGAGAACAAAGTGAAGCTGAACGATGAAGATGTTTTAGATCCTCATGAGTTCAATCTTACTGAACATTTAAAGTATTATTTCTGCTCCTGTATTTAAGTCCAACTGTCCTGAACCCTCGTTTGTCTTCCAGACCTTTAATGACCTCGACCCGGTGGTGGATCTGTGTGGAAATGTTCTGGTGCGTCACACGATTGTCTCGTGAGCTTCACTTCCTGTCAGTTTGCTGTCGAGGAATCTCTGGACGGAGCCGATCATGGACGTCCACAACACAAGCACTGGAACGATAAACGGTCAGGAGGTTCAACACCAGTCTGTGTCTTAACAAGGCCCTGGATGTTCAGCTGAAGAGTCTAGACTGTCATTTAGGAATAGATTATTAATATATGTTTTAGAAATTAATATAAGTCCCGTTGTTATAGATTTTATTTTTGTCTGGCTGGAATTTATTTTATTTTTCATTAAACACATGTATTTAACAAGAACATACATGGTGGAGGAGTTTTAGATTGTTATCAGGTTTTTATGGAGTTCTACGGATTTAAATGACCCGCTGATACATTCCGGGAACTTCCGCTGTCGTAACAATGTCTTTCAACGACCCTCACTTTTCCCACCAATCAGAAGCGGTTGCCAGGCAGAGCAGATTCCGCCGTCCAATCACCTCCTTCCCCTGAACGCTGGCCTGCGCATGCACCGTTGGTTGAATATTCGCGGGAAGCTCGGCGGAGCAAAGAAAGACCGAAAGCCGAGTGAAAATACGGAACAAAGTCCGGTTCTTGCGGCTGCTGCGTGGAGTGGCTTCGTTGAAATGCGGGAGAAGTTGGTTCCGGAGCAAAGTCCGGACGTGAAAGTGTTTGTGGAGCCGTTTGTTGGAGGAACGAGCGGCGACGAGGGAAGGCTAACTAGCCGTTAGCATTAGCGGTGAGTGGACTTCCTGTGTTGTGGTGAATGTGGATGTGACCGGTGAAGGCAGCTTTGGGTTCCTGTAGGAGGAGAGCTGCGGTGGTTCTGTCTCGTTTTGTTCGTGTTTGAAAAGTCAGAACCTGAGAATTGATGAAGCCGTAAACTAGCGTTGATGACGTACGTGGTGACGGTTGTACCACGTGACTTTCTTATTGTTTTTGTTTATGTATTCATTGTTTTAAACACGGAAAGCCTTTTATTGGTCATCTGCAGAGCTCACAGAGTTGTCGCTCAGAACCGGTTCACGTTTTGTGGACTTCGAACTTTATTGCGCGTTTGTTTGCGGTCTGTTGGAGCTGCTTCTTGTTTTTGGACGGAACCAGCAGCAGGAGGAGGAGATCCATCCCGTCTGAGAACATCTGGATCTGTCCTCATCAGGTACGAGTCCAGTCAGAACCATAACAGTGACCACAGGGTGTGTCCATGTTCTGATCTGGTTCTGCTCATTTCTGGTACTGTAACAGGTTGAGGGTCTGCTGTGTTCAGAAGAACTTTGATCCAACAGTAAGGAGGAGGTGTTATGAGTGAGAACAAGGAGACCAGCCCAGGTAGGGGTTTAGGATGTGGTCTGTTGGTACTAGACACCATCTATCTGTAAGATTGATGAGCGACATGTGTACCTGAATGCTGCATTGGTTGTGTCATCAGGAGGACGAGGTCAGTCTGCTGAAGGAGGCTCTCAGACCCTCAGTGTGTTCTTCAGGCCACATTGAAGGAATGTGAGGAGGAAGCCAGTGAGTGGAAGGCCTTGTGCTGTCAGCTGGACATCAGATGTGTGGATGTTCATCCACTCTGAGTGACTGATGGGAGCCAAGTTTGTGTTAAAGCTCCTTCTAAACCCTGTGTTGTGTGACATGTGGGAAAGTCCAGGAGGATAGTGGGCTGCTTCAGGACCAGCACCAGAGGTTTGTTTCACTGCAGTGTTCTAGATGACACAGTTCAGGTTGAGTGAGACATGAGGAGCTGCTCAGCCCGAAGCTAACGGATGTGTTTTATCTGTGTCTGGTAGCAAACTGTGACTCCTGCTGATGAGGAGCCACAACATCACTGCAGGTGCAACAGTGGAGGTCCAGGCAGAACACTGGTGAACCTCCTGGAGTTCTGGAAGGATGCTGAAGTGTTTTATGGACCTGTTGTTCCAGCTTCATGTGTGTTGTGTGAACAATGAAGCTGTGGTGTTTGAACAACTGTGAATAAAAAGTCCAGAGTAACACCAGCACACCCAGTACCAGTACCACTACACCCCTGCTGTGTCCAGTTGGGTTCCTCTGAGTGTCCTATTAAAGCTGTTGAGTTCATGTGTGGCTGGATTTTATGTGAATGTTGTTGTTGAGATGACCTGGGTTAACATGGGTTCTGGTACCATGATGTGCACACAGTGTAATGCCTGTATCCCTGCCCTGGTGTGAAGAAATAAAATATGCTGCAGAGTTTGTAGTCCAGATGAAGAAAGTATGTGAGGAGGGAACAAAGCTCTGAGAAGTTTTCAACTGGCTGCTGGGTTGTTGCAAGCATGAAGAGTAGATGTTTAAATGTGTTTAGGGCCACCTCGAGGATGTGGTGTCTGATCAGGACGGAGGAAAGGTTTGCAGTCCAGACATATGCTGGAAGTGGGTTCAAATTCTGAGGCAACACAGGAGGGTTCTGAACAGTGAAGCCAGTAATAAAATAGCATGTCCGGGTTGGTGAAGGATGTGACATCACAATCCCAGATAAAGTCTATAAAAAGGTCATGTTCTGTTTGGAAGAAGGACAACATGTGGAAGAGGAACCAGAATCAGTCCATATGACTGATGTCATCAGAACTCTGCCTGTTTTACATCTACTGTCCACTTGAGGGTGCAGATGAGGGACTGTGTAGCTTCATGTCTACTGCTGACCTGAACCTCAGTGTGGGCTGGGGCAGTAGAACCCTGATGTGGGGTGACCTGGTCTTGTGGTGGTGCAGGCAGTGCTTCTATCTCCTCACATGATGGTTGAAATGATGTTGTATGTGTGTGTTACCACCATGTGGACCTACACTGAGCTGGTTCTAGTTTCCACCAGAAGATGTTCATCAGAGGAGCTCATGCTGTGACCATGAGATGTAGTCAGTGCTGGTTGTTCTGACTGTAGAAGTGTTTACTGATAAGCTTCAGTCAGAGTAGGAGATGTATAGACAGTCAGACTAGGTCTATTTGGACCAGGACACATGAGGGATGGACTGATGTGAGCTGCAGGCTGTTGAGTGAGAACAGTGTTCTGGCCACACGTCTGAGTTTGTTTGTTGAAGAAAACAGGCTGTTGAATGAGGTGAGACTTTGTTGTGTTTGGGTTTTTACTGAGTCATAATTAGCAGCAGCAGGTTTCTTTCATCATCAGAACTCAGTCACAGTGTCATGACTCAGAGTGTCCAGTAGGAGGTGACAATGTCACACCTTATGCACATGAATGCAGGTAAATGACAGGAAGTGGAAGGCTGAGACCAGTTAATATAAAATGGTTCATAAATGTGATGAGCTGTGACTGGTTGATGTGGTGCTGCTGGGTCCAGTTGTTGGTGTGAAACTGGTTCCTTTATTAGCTGTGGTGTGTTTTCCAGGTGGTCACAGAATGCTGGAGGATGCAGTGCCACCATGAGGATGTGTGGAGGAGGAGGAGCAGGTAGGGACAGATTGATCATCCCATGTTTGGCTGTGATGTTGTGGGACAGACAGGAGTGTCATGATCTGGTGAGTGGAGTTCTGACAGGTTGTATGTGTGATCTGAAGGCTGATCCAGGGATGGTTCCACACAGAGTCCAAGTTCATGCTGTGATATGGGACCAACAAGCTGAAGTGTGGTAGGAGGACTGTGGATATGATGACATCACGTGGTGTGTCTTCCAGGTAGGAACAGATTATCTGTTGGTCAGAGTGGTGTCCTGTCAGGCTGTTTAACAAGGGATGGGTTCAGCTAGTTCATAGTGTGTAAATTTC